GACTCGGGTGTGCACTCGGGCGAGTTCACGCTTGCTCTTCTCCACCCGCCAGTGAGGTCCTTCGGCACGGAAGACCGGCCCACAGAGCGGCCTGCGCCCCCTAGAGAGGAGGTCTATGAGTACATCATCTTTCGGGGCAGTGACATCAAGGACATCACCGTGTGTGAACCCCCAAAAGCACAGCACACGCTTCCTCAGGACCCTGCCATTGTCCAGGTGGGGGCATTCAGGGACCTGGCGCTACTTGTCAGCTGTTTGCTTGGCCAGTGTTCAGCCAGGGGCCACGGCTTGTTCTCAGAGAGGGGTAGGGATAGGTCCAGGCTGGTTTTGTGGTTCTCAGCCTGTGGGTCTCGACTCCTGTGGGGGTCGAACGCCCCTTTCACGGGGCTCTCCCAGTTCACAACAGTAATGAAGTAGCTACGAAGTAACTGTATGGTTGGGGGCCACCACATGAGGGACTGTACTGAAGGGTGGCGGCATGAGGAAGGTTGTAGAGGCTCTGGGCTGGAGGCCTGGCTGTGGTCCCAAGTGCAGCTCTAGATGTCTGCTGTGCCTCTGCACCTCTCTGTCCGTACCCCTGTGTGTGGGGACCCAGTGGGGATCCAGCCACTTCTAGCTCATGCTGATGATTTTGGGCATGCCCAAAACGTAATCCTGAATTGGATCTGAACCACCAGCCTTGCGGTTAGTAGCCCAGTGCATTCTCCCTGTTTTGGGTGGAGGAATGTGAACCCGGGATGGGGGGTAGGGACAGCAGGACTTGTTGACCTTGTACAACCCCAGCATTAAGTACTGGGTCTGGGACACCCGTGCTCACCTGCCACAAGAGGCAGGACTAGGTCCGTACTGGAGTCCCTTTACTGCTTGATTTGGACATTGGGTGGCTCCCCTCTTCATGAATACCACCTGGAAGGTGCGCGGTCAGCAGCAGCACCTGGGCCAGGCTGTGGGAATGTTGGAGGGAGGTGGGCTGATTCTAGAGGGACAGGGAAGTAGCAAGTGGAGGTGGGACAGTGTGGCCCATCATAGGAGCCATCTGGGGATGGCAGACTGACAGCCCTGCTCCATCGCTGTGAGACTGACTTCCTGTCGGTGGTGGTGGTCTAGTTGGGGTGACTCTTGCAGTGGTGGCATGGGGCTGGGGAGGGGATGAGAGAACAGCATTGAGTGGGTGTGGCCTCTGAAGAGAGGCCAGTGGGACCCGGGCACAGCTCACTAGCTTCCTTGTCTAGTCCTCCCTAGGCTCGGCCTCCACGTCGTCCTTCCAGCCACATGTGCCTTACAGCCCCTTCCGAGGGATGCCGCCCTACAGCCAGCTGGCCGCCAGCTCCCTGCTCAGCCAGCAGTACGCAGCCTCCCTGGGTCTGGGTGAGTACCTGCCTGCGGCACAGGCAGTCTCAGCTGCTGAAGGCAGGGACACACAGTCTTCCCATCACTTGCCCAACAAGGCGTCTATCAGATAGGTCTAGCCCCTGTTTGATTTAGTACCAAGGCCCACATAGCTGGCCCGGCAGGCAGCCTGCTCTGGGCTGTTGCTGGTGAGCCCTGTAGCAGGATGCTAGCTAGCTTTGAGCAAGGGTGGGTTACCTATGAACCCTTGATTGGACTCAGCTCTGCAGGTGAATCCAGGGCTATTGCAGGGCACCTCTGCCGGGCAGGGGTGGGCAGGCAGGGTGCCTAGTTGTGGGCTATTTGCTACCAGGTAACGAGTCTCAGCTGTAGCTGTTAGTGTCACCGCTGGCCTGGTGCCCAAAGTACACCGTGGGCGTATGTCCTGTGGGCTCAGTGCTAGGCCACTGCAGTCAGCGAGTGTCACCATAAAGCGGCAAGCCTCTGGGTTTTCTGGAGCGTGTGCGGTCTGTCGGCCCAGACCCTGGGCTGTCCTAGCTCGGTGGATGAGTTAGAGCTGCTGTGACAGCGACCACTGTGGGAAGCGGTGCTGAGACTTGGATGCGAGGCAGCTGCAGACCATGGGTTTGGAGTGGCAGGCGGGGAGGTAGGGCCCCCGAGTTCTTGCTGAGGTGGGGCCCCTCTATTTGCTCTCCTCTTCAGAGAAGGTGGTCAGCCCTCCTGTCTCGGCCGCCGCCTCCAGCCCCAGCTCCTCTCCATCGCCTCAGCCCGGGTCAGAGCTGGACATGTCCTCAGAGCCCCACCAGCTGACTGCCAAGGGTAACTGCCTGAGGGGGGGGGGAGGTGCGCATACTCTGATCACAGGAGCGGTGGCCCTGGTGGCTGTACTGGGTCCTGATTAACTGCTGCCCAGTCTCGGGAGGACTGGCATCAAGGCCCAGGTCGGGCCCCACCTCTCACCATGGGAAGGCAGCTTCCTTGGAGGGTGCTGCCCCACGTGTGTGTCGGGCTGTGCTGGGCCTTGTAACACTGGGGACTTCCAGCTGCCTGACCAGGTGGGTGAGGACTGGTCTGCAGGGCCGCTGGCTAAGGTTGGAGAGTACCCTCTGTCCGTTGAGGGACTGGAAGTTTTGCGGGTTGTATGACTCGCCCTCACACTCACCTGTTGTACACAGTCCCTGTGTTTTGCGTCAGGCCTTACCTGACCATTACCTGAATGTCCTCAATCATTTGACTCTTCTGGGTCCCATGGTTGCCGTTGGCTTGTGCTCTTGCAGGGCTGTGGTCCCAGTCCTTTGGGGACCCTGCCAGTTTGTTTACAGCAGAGTTGTGTTCCTCCCTCTTGGCTGCACCGGACAAGCTCACTACTCTGAGTTGGTCTGTTTCCAGAGTAGGTGGACCCATCCAGTGACGGGGGGGTTGCTCACTTGATACCACTCAGAGGGTTCCAGCACGTTGTCTTGTGAAAGACAAGCCTAGCTGCTTGGTCAAGGCACCCTGCCACTTGGGCCACCTCACTCCTTGAGCTCTCTTGATGGGTTTTATAACGGCACTCCAGAACGGAGGGGGCAGGCGCTGTTCGCGAGTGCAGCTCCTACATTTATCCTTTCAAAGTTCATCTTGGCTCTAAGCGGAACTGCAGTAATTCCTTAGTGTGTTCCAGATCGTCACAGTCTGGTCTGGGCTTTTCCGCTGTCCTCACATCCCAAGCTCGGCCAGGTCATGGAACAAGCCTTGCTTGGGTGTGGGCAAGCCTGCTTCAGGAAAGCCTGTTTGAGGCAGAGCACCTGCTGCTCCTCCTCCTCGGGGCTCCCGATGGCCTGAAGGGCCTGGGTGGCCAGTGATGACACGGCCCCACCTCAGCTTGCCTTGGAGAGATGGCCTGTGGGAGGAGCTCACAAGGGTTTGGTAGAACTCTCTAGGCTGTCTGTCTGACACACCAGCCTGGAGCAGGGGGCTATCTGGGGTGGGGTGGGGGGAGGTGTCGTGGTGTGACTTCCTTCACCTGAGCCTGCCTCTTGCCTCCACTCAGCTGCTTTTCCATCCATCCCGGTCGGCAAGAGCCCCATGGTGGAGCAGGCTGTGCAGACGGGCTCCGTGGACAACCTGAACAGCAAGAAGCTGTTGCCTAGCAAGGGCTCCGTGGGTGCACAGCTCCACAGTCGCCAGGCCCAGCCCGGCAGCAAGACAGCCAGCGGTAGGGATACCTCCCCACTCGTGCTCGCTCCCTCGCTGTGGGGCCACTCTGCAGCCTGGGCTCCTGCCCTCTGCTGTGCAGGCACAGTTGGGGGACCCATGCGGCTGACCTTCGCTAGGGGCTGCTTGCAGGCTTGGTGGTGGGGGGCGTGCGTGTGTCCCGAGGCTGGGCGGGCTTCACGGGATCTCCCTTTGCGCCGTAGATGTCGCTCAGTCCGCTGTTGTGCAGAGTCAGGGGCAGGTGAACGACGAGAACAGAAGGCCTCAGAGGAGAAGATCAGGTACAGGTCTGGCGCGGCCACGGCCAGTGTGCTTTGCTTGCCGCTCCTGACAGTGTCCTGGGTGCTGGGCAGCCACTTCGGGTGCCATGCCCCTGCAGTGGTGTCTGATGGGCGTGGGCATGGCCCAAAGCCACCCTGGGAAGCTCATCTGTGGTGACAGCTCATCTCTCTGGTCCCCTCCCCAGGGAACCGGCGGACGAGGAACCGCTCCCGAGGGCAAGCCCGCCCTGCCGGCACCAAGGAGCACACCATCAAGTTTGAAGGGGACTTTGACTTTGAGAGTGCAAATGCTCAGTTCAACCGGGAAGAGCTGGACAAAGAATTCAAGAAGAAACTGAATTTTAAAGGTCTGCACGGTTTACATAAGACAGGCACTGCCTGTCCCTCCAGGAGTGGACACAAGCCAGTGGGTGGCAGGAGGAATAGGTGGAATGTGGGGACAAAGGGGCAGCAGAAGGTCATCTCAGTTGGCACAAGGCACCAGTGTAGCTCCGCCCCTCCGTGTGTTTGTCTCCCCAGATGACAAAGCCGAGCAGGGGGAAGAGAAGGACACGGCAGTGGTGACTCCAAACGACGAGGCCCCCCCTGAGGAAGACCTCCTGGGGCCCAACTGCTACTATGACAAGTCCAAGTCCTTCTTTGACAACATCTCCTCTGAGCTCAAGACCAGGTGAGCCGAGAGTCGGGAGACAGGCACTCAGCACCTCCCAGGAGGGCCGGGCAGAGGCACCATCTCCAGGGTCAAGGTCACACCAGGCATCTTGGGTTTATGACAGGCGTGTCTGTCCCAGTGGGGCCTGCAAGCAATGGCAGGGCTGTGGGCAGTCAGCCCACCCCTCCCTACTCCACAGCAGCTGGCAGTCCTCAAGAGACAGACAGCAGACCTACTCCATCTGCTTTGTTGGCTGCTTCCTCATCTCTGGTTGACCCTGGGGCTTCGTGGGAGGTGTCCCTGAGTGTGCAGAGGGCTTGTGCTGGCACTCGGGCTTTGTCCCCCAAGAGCAGCCCAGAGGGTGTGGCAAGGCAGTGGGGGTGGCTGGGTGTAGGTCTTTTCAAGGACTGGGCGTGGAAAAGGGGTGTGGGCAGACCCTGTGGACACTCAAGTGCAGAGTAGGTAGGTGTGAGCAGAGCCAGGGAGTATCATTTGTCACGGGCCCAGCTTTGTCTGATGTCTCCACAGCGGGCAGGCATTTTGGAAGAGGGCAGAGAGGGTCTGTCTGCTGAAGGGCTGGGGTGGGGGAGCGCTCTGAGCCCGTGGGGTAGCCGTGCTTCTGGTGGAAGTGTGTACAGTGAGTGGGGGCCAGCTTAGGTGTGGACAGTGTCGGGGTGAGGGGTCCCATCTCCTCGACACCCGGAAAGCTCCTGCTTCACCCAGCCGCTCTCCTGGATCTCTGGCTCCGTGCTGGCTGCAGCGCAGGTTTCTCACCACCTTCAGTTCCAGGCGGACCACGTGGGCTGAGGAGAGGAAGCTCAACACGGAGACTTTTGGTGTGTCTGGTCGGTTTCTCCGAGGACGCAGCTTCCGGGGCGGCTTTCGAGGGGGCCGAGGGGCTGGAACTGCCCGCCGCAACCCAACCACCCACAGAGCCGGGACTGGCCGTGTGTGAGGCTGCAGCCAGGGTGAGCAGCCACAACTTTCTGGAGTGGGAACCCCTGGGTGGGAATTCTCATTGGGGAGAGAGCGGAGTTAGGGTAGAGAGAAGCCCTGACACTTAAAACACCTGGGGGTGGCCCAAGCTGGCCCTCAGCCTGCCCCGGGCCCTGCTGGTGCTGTGGGTGGCACTCCCAGCCCCGCTCATGTGAGCAGGTCTCTCGCAGGCATCAGGGTCTGGGGAGAGGTTCCCTGGGGAGAATGTGAATCAGCTCTCTAGAGGACCTGGAGGGCTGTGTGTAGCACTTCCTGTTGTCGTCCCCACAGGCTCCTGCAGAGGGCTCAGCAGACACGCAGAGGACACTTGCTGAGGGAGAAGCGGCCACATCGACTGGTTGTCTTTCCCACTCCTTGCTGGACTGAACTCGGCGTGTCTGGGGGCCTCCGGTGGACTAGGTCTAGTCCCCATCCTTCCTCGGGAGCACAGCCAGCCCAGGACTCCATAGTGCATTTTTCCAGTGGGCAGCGTTACGGCAGCTTTGACTTTAAATTAAAGTGCAACTGACATTGGCACAGGTGGCCACCCCGCTTGCCCAGCGTGTCCCCACAGCCCGCCACCCAGGGCCAGCCCAGGGGATCGTGTCATAAAGCAATCTGGGCACCTTGCCATCTGCAGCACGCCAGGAGGACTGGGCGAGCCCCTCTGGTTAAGGTGGGCCCAAACTTTGCTCTGAGCCAGCAGCACTAGCCTCCACAGGTGGGATCGGAGCCCAGCCAGGGGGGTCCTCCCTCATCCACTTAGGAAGTGAGCCCACCCCTCTCAATGTACATAGTTCATGTTTCTGCCCAGGGCAGGCAGGCGAGCATACAAACTGGTTGCATGAGCAGGTCAGACTTTAGTGTAGCATGCAGCCCGATGACGGGCATTTTGTTGACGACGAGCACCTTGGTTACAAAACCCCTTCAGTAGCTGTCAAGGCTCCGTTGTATCTTCTCTCGACTCCGTCGCTGTGAAGCCGACTTCACAGCCAAGGGTTGAGATACTAGTGGTGGGGTTGCTGTTGGTAGTCATGTAAATTGTGATTATAAATAAACATGCAAATGTTTTAGTTTCTTCTCATCCCACACCTGTGTCCATTGCCTTTGCTGCCCCCCCCAAGTGTGTGGGTACACACCAGGATTATTGGGGGGGGGGGCCTTGCGTGGTGTCCCTCAGGAGTCTGAACCTTAAGGAAAGCAGCGCCCCATCTGTGGAAGCAGCTGTCGTGGTTGGGAACACCCTGGGGCACTGTGGTGCAAGTGGCAGCACAGCCTGTCAGCCCACCCTTGGCACTAACGTGGGTGCTCACATCAGGTGAAGGTCATGACACCAGCAGCTGCTGGGTGGATTGGGGTGCTGCCCTGTACTGAGGGTGCTCTTGGTGCTGTTGAGGCTTGGACACAGGTCAGCCACACAGACTACCTGGAGCTGCTGTCCATGGACCGTGAACCCCCAGACAGTAGGCGCCTCTGGGACTGTATTAAGAAGATGCATCCCCCTTTAAAAAGGTTATAAAGCTTTATTGCTGGGCGGCTGGCACGGCCTGCACTGCCGGCAGGGCAGTCACGAAGCCTTCTTCTGCTTCTTCTTCTCATTCTCCTCTTTCTCCTTCTCAATTTCAGCAACGTACTTCTCAATTTCTTCAGGACTTAAAATCTACACACCACAAAGAAATGTGTGTAGCTCTAGCATACACCCCCCACCCCACCCAGTTCTCAGGAAAGCAGGGACCTGGGTGTGCAGGGCAGCAAATGGCCCTGCCTAGACCCAGAGGATGGGGAGGAACAAGGGCAAGGTGTGCCCACCCTGGTCTTTACCTTGAGAGGCTGGTCCCGCCGCATCACTGCAAGCTCAATGTTTTTGCCACCTGACTGGACCACCTGGAGGCAAAAGACTCAACAGTTCAGTCCCTGGGCCATGAGGGGACAAATGTGCAGGTAGCTCCGCCACACCCACAAGATGCCTCTCACCCCACCTTGCCCCCCCCACCCCCCAAGGGATTCCTCACCCATCCACAGCAGTGCCAACTCCCTACTCATTAAACAGAACCAAGCACTCTGGGACGGTGTGGTGCACCTGCTGCCGCCGCCTCCACATCAAGCCCGTCCACTGAAGACCACTGTAACCCTGTGCCTACCTCCAGCAGGGCCTTGATGACCAGCTTAATGGCCAGGTCGTCCGTCTCAATGGCCTCGTCAGTGTAGTTCTTCTCCAGGAACTCCCGCACGGACTTGGCCCCACGGCCTATGGCATTGGCCTACAACCCCACAGACCAGTCAGCACCACGTGGCCGCCAGCAGCTGCCCTAGTAACCCTATTTGTGACCCCAGGCCTGACCCTGACCAAGGTGGGCCCCAGGGAGAAGTGCCTGAGAGCTCAGTGCTGAGGCTGTACACACCTCGCTTCCAGTGTACAAGTTCACCCACAGGCAAGATCCAGGTCCATCTGAACTGCTCCTGGGTCCCACTCCTTTCTGGGGCTGCCACTCACCTTCCAGGCATGGTAGGTGCCTGAGGGGTCAGTCTGGTATAGTCTGGGTGTGCCGTCAAAGTCGAAACCCACGATGAGGGCAGAGATGCCGAAGGGCCTGCGCCCGTTGCTCTGCGTGTATCGCTGTATGTAGGAGACAGGACGCGTCAGTGCCAAGCCCCAGTGAGGTCCACCTCTACCTCCCAGTAAGGAAACCGACCATTGGTCCCTTTCAGGGGACATTCGAGACAGCACAGATGTCACCGTGCCCTGCACAGAACCAGCAGCTCTGGCTACTGGGGGGGTAGGTGCCCACCTGCTTCAGGCTGGCGATGTAGCGGGTGATGTACTCCACAGTGACTGGGTCCTCCACGGTCAGCCGGTGGCTCTGGCACTCCACCCGGGCTCTGTTGATGACGATCCTCGCGTCAGCAGTGAGGCCTGTGAGCAGTGAGGCAGGCTGAGCCACCCAGGCCACCTGTGATACCCTCTATGGCAAAGGACATTCCCCACACGCTGAGCCACGCCCAGTCAGCTTCCAGGGGTTCCTGGGTTCAGGCTATGAGGGCCTGGATGAGCTAACCCACCCCCCGGGTTCTGCAGCCCTGCCCTCCCCACTGCACACAAGTGACCTGCCCCTGAGCCCACAGGTCTCCCAAGAACTGGGCCAGCCCTTTATAGTCCACACCCACCCCCTTCCCCCACCACTTGATGTTAGCCTAGCTCTGAGGCACCACCCAGCCTTTTTGCCCCAGAATGAGGCCCAGCAGGGCAGTGGGCAGAGGGGACATGATGGGAAGAGCCAGGAAAATGCCACAAGGGCTTTCCTGAGCTCGGACTCCTGGGCTCTTGAGCTTTGAGACAAACTTCCAGGAAGCCACCTGCTTCTAGCTGGCCAGCTGGTCCCCCCCCATACTCCCCCAGATGGGTGGGTACCTGCGAAGGCCATGCAGACGTTGTCATCCAGAGCGCATATCTTCCGCACGGTCCTCTCATCCTGCAGTTTGGCCACAGATTTCTTCTCCACCCCAAGAACAACAATGTCCCGTCCGCGAACGCCAACCTGCACCAAAACACGATGACCTGGCATGAACTCCGCCCCTAGGCCCTACCAACCCTGAGTGTCAATACTGGGCCCCATCCTCAAAGTACCCAGCACACCTAAGTAGCCACACCACAGAACCCACGTGTCATTTCAACCTCCTGCCTCGGATGTCCCCAGACACTGCTGTGGGGTGCTTCAAGTCAGTTCTGAAACACCGTGTCCTATGTCACGCAGCAGAGCAGAACAGAACTGTAGCCGTGTTAGGCCACAACCTTCATGGGGCGGCTGGCCAGGTCTTCTCCTGTGAAGCTGTTGTTGGGATCCAACTACCAACTGGGCAATGGTGTCAACAGGTAACAACCGTACTGCTAGTCCTTTCCAATTCCACCTTACAGAGAGGGTCGCACGCTCAACGGCATTTCCATAGGAGCAAATACCAGAAACCACCTGAGGGACCACTGGGGGGTTAGGGCTGCAGCCAAGGCCACACTGTGATTGTGATGCCAGGGCTCCGGCACCCGGTGTGCGGAATGCAGATCTCTGCCCCTGTGAGACCATGGAGCATGCGGCCTGCCGGCCAGGCCCTGCCACACAGTGCGGCTATGCAAGGGCTCAGCATGGGGGCAATGTCCCCACTGTCACTGAGAGGCTGACCATGCAGATTCAAGAGTGAGCAGTGTGACCACTTCCAGACACGATGATCCTCCATCAGACCAGGACACCCCCCCACCCCCACCCCACGGGGTTGGTGAGCAGTTCCGCCCTTGGTGGCACAGGGACACCCTGGGCAGCCTGGTTCTCGGTGGTGGGCCTGTGCTAGAGACTATAGGGTGCTTAGTAATCTCACTGTGTCTACCAAAAGGCCCTGACATTCCCAATTGCCCCTGAAGGGATGGCCACCACCTCCCATTCAGAAACCACCTAACCAGGCCCAGGACACTGAGCTGGGGGCCACAGGGTGTGCGGGTGGGGACAGGGGGCTCCTAGAGGAGCAACCACGTCCACCCCCACCCCATTCAGGGACCACCTAACTAGGCCCAGGGCTGGGGCCCCTCCAGAGCTGAGTCAGTAGGTAGACGGATGCAGTGAAAATGCAGGCAGGTAACCTGGAATCTCCACTCTGCTGCACTGGGCCCCAGTGAGACCAGGGAACCGGATCTGGAGCACACCTGGCGAGGGACTGGGCTGAGGAGCACACCTGGCGAGGGGCTGGGCTGAGGCCAGAGGACCCAGTGGTCAGATCCAACGCCACCACCCCCTCCGCACACCCCCTTACTGGTACTGGGAGCCCACCAACACCATGACCAACCACCCCCTTCCCTGGAGGCTGCCGAAGCCCATCTGTCTGCCCAGTCATCTCTCCCAAAGGAAGGCCACCTCCGCCCCCCTCCGGTGTAAAGGTCACCGCGCCAAGATGGCGCTCCCCTGCCAGCCGAGGCAGGGCTCAGGAGCACCTCTGCACAATTAAAGACGCTAAATGGGACGGGCGAAGTTCCCAACCCTTCCACCGTTTCGTTAAGGGCCTCCCCGCCACCGCCTCAAACATCTCCCCCAAACGCCCCTCGGTTAACGTCTCGCACACTGGTCCCCGACCTGCTGAGGAGCGGCTGGCCGCCGCCACCGTCCGGCTTGTCCTCGCACACAGCCCGCCGGCGCGGGCCACAAACGCGGCTCCGCCGTCGCTTTTCTCTAGGGCACCAGCGCCCATGCTACCAGGCGCGCGACTCCCGCCGCCCCGCGCCCGCCTAAAAAGGCGAGCCCACCCAACCCACCGCGACCCCACGGCGGCCAACGAGGCTGCAAGGGAAGCCCCGCCGCCCGCGAGAGCGGGCGCCGCGCCCCAGGGGTCCCCGCGCCCGATGGGTGACCCGCGGGGACGCACGCGGCAGCACCAGCCAGCGCACCCCAGCGTGTAGTTCTTCTCCAGGAACTCCCGCACGGACT